GAGTTAACTGAACTTAGGACTGAAGAACATCATGAAGGGGGTGGGTACCAAATTATTTTGAGCCTTAAAATCCGTTTTTTCTAAAACCGTGAACCAGACCACGTTACAACCCTCAAAAGTCCTAATTTAAATAAGGTTTATTTCGAAATCACACTTCAACGAGATAGCGTTTTCTGACTCTCATGAATTTGGCTATAAAAAAATTTGTGTTGGTAACATATGCTTTTGTTATCTTTGATAAAAATAAAAATATAAAAATTAATTTTTGCGTCTTGGCTAATGATTCATTCATAAGGTTTTGCGAAATATCTTCAATAAAATCTTCAAGACTTATATAACTGTTGCATTAGAATCATCATTCTTAGAATAAATATTGTCCTGCTTGTAAAACCATTGTTTGATATCAAAGAAGCTTACATTTGAGTATCAGCAAAGAGAACGTAGCTAAGAAGAAGTTGTTGAGTAAAGAAGATGCAACATTCAGCTAATCTAGGGCAGTTACGTCGAGATTCGATGAATCTCTAGGAACTTTTTGGTCAGGTAGATTATCTTGAAAGCAGACGGCCAAGGGAAAGACGTGGAAAATATCTCGACCAGTACGGTAAACTTAGGACACCAAATTTGTTTCCAAGGGCATTTCCATATTTTTTGTCAAGACTGTTACTAGGTTCTTCTACGAGCCAAAGATTTTCCTCGAGCAATATTGTTTCTGGTGATCTGCATGGCAGATATGTGCATGATTTCCTCTACAGTAACTGACCAGCTAGTGAGTGTCTTCCAGGTTATGCTGTGGTATTGGGCCTGTGTTCCCATCTTTCCCTAGTTAAGTTCTGGTTTAGATCGTCTTCGAGCAGCTTTTTGATGTTGGGTTTGTAATCCCATCCTCCCCAGTCAGGTCCTGATTCAGACTTCTCCGACTGAGTGCAATTTCCTCCCGTGGTCAGAAGGTGATCAAGAGGAGGTCGCAAAGTTACAAAGTATGTGTTTAATTGTTGAACTCTTTCTCCCTTTCGTGTTGAGAAGTGATGTAGAATCTTCAGCAAGTTATTATGCCTTTCAGTTATGGTATTGTTGTTATAGTGTGCCTCTAAGCAACCAGAAAAGGGTAATATACATTCTAAGAAGTTTTGAGAGACGCATCCACTCCTTGGGTTTTCTCTCGCTATGCGCTGAGTTTGATTTAAAATCCCCATGAGTTGACCCATTACTGTATTGTCGACTTCTTAAATTCTTCAGATGTGTCGAATATGATACTTCCCTCTGAAGTTGTTATCCCATGAAATTATGTGATCTGTCTCCAGAGAATTTTGCACAACTATTATGCCTAATATTGAAGACTGTATCCAGGCTCTCTTGGGTGTGTGTGGCTTCTTTTTCCCCAATGAAGTTAGCATAACAATCCCTAGTTGAAGTATCAACGATGTAGTTTTGCATCTTCCCTGGTAAAGTCTGTATTGACATCCCTAGTTAGGTCTTGACGACATGGCTTTCATCTTCCACTAGTGAAGTTAGTTTTGGAATCTCCAGTGAAGTCTAAACGATGAAGCTTCCTCTTCCCTTATCGAAGTCTGTATTGGTATTCCCTAGTGAAACATAGAAGAGTTTATGATATTCCCACAACTTTATTTGTTGTTAGTCAGGTGGTTCTTTAATTGTTTTCAAGCCATGTTTTTCTCAGTGAAGTTAAGCCGTGAAATATGACTTTTGTCCTCTGTTGATGCTTACCCTCTTGTGGAATCTAATCTTTTTTCCGCATGCGACTTGGCCGAGTGTTGTCTTTACCCAAGTTAGATGTGTCTGGTCATCTCCAGTGTATTATGGTTATTTTGTCAGTGTTATACATGATAACATCCATACATTCATACACATCATGCATAGATGAATTTAAAATTCATCACTCATTTGCATTTATTGATGTTTTGTCGGCATATTATCCTCTTTGCAAAGTTATATTATCCTCTCTCCAATAAAGTTGTAAATGTTAAACAAAAAGTGTATATCCTTTCAATTTCCCCGCCGAGTTATCCCTCGTGGAAGAATTTTTGTTTCAGCCTTCCCGTTCAGTTCATTATCTGGATGGAGTGTGATCCCCTTTTGAGTTTATTTCTCATCGGGTGCTGACTTAGTTGATTATTTCATTCCAGTTTATTTCTGGTTTGGAGTCTGTAGTCTCCGACAACATTATTATCCTGATTTATGTAGTCTTCGAGCCTTGATTTGAGAATGTGCATTTATTTTTCACACAAAGACTTTTTCTCCTCAACAGGAATGCGTTGGTATTTCCCCAGGAAATCAAGCTTCTTTTCTTGCCAGTCATATTACAATTCCTTCTTAAAACGGCAAGCGGCAGTTCTCTTTATTTGAGAAACATGTTCTTCCCAGTAGGTCTGTTAATGCCAGAGAAGATTTTTTTCAATGAATGGTAGCCTCGTCATTATGGGAGGTAGTTCGTTGCTGAAATTTGTTACTTCAATGAATGGTAGTCTCGTCATTATGGGAGATAGTTCGTTGATGAAGTTTGTTTTTCCAATGAATGGTAGCCTTGTCATTATGGAAGGTAGTTCGTTGATGAAAATTTGTTACATTCAATGAATGGTAGTCTCGTCATTATGGGAGATAATTCGTTGATGAAGTTTTTTTTTCCAATGAATGGTAGCCTTGTCATTATGGAAGGTAGTTCGTTGATGAAAATTTATTACTTTCAATGAATGGTAGTCTCGTCATTATGGGAGATAGTTCATTGATGAAGTTTGTTTTTCCAATGAATGGTAGCCTTTTCATTATGGAAGGTAGTTCGTTGATGAAAATTGGTTACTTTTAATGAATGGTAGTCTCGTCATTATGGGAGATAGTTCGTTGATGAAGTTTGTTTTTCCAATGAATGGTAGCCTTGTCATTATGGAAGGTAGTTCGTTGATGAAAATTTGTTACTTTCAATGAATGGTAGTCTCGTCATTATGGGAGATAGTTCGTTGATGAAGTTTGTTTTTCCAATGAATGGTAGCCTTGTCATTATGGAAGGTAGTTCGTTGATAAAATTTTGTTACTTTCAATGAATGGTAGTCTCGTCATTATGGGAGATAGTTCATTGATGAAAATTTGATATTCCAATGAATGGTAGCCTTGTCAGTATGGAAGGTAGTTCATTGATGAAGATTGTTCTCCAATGAATGGTAGCCTTGTCATTATGGAAGGTAGTTCGTTGCTAAAATTTGTTACTCCAATGAATGGTAGTTTCGTCATTATGGGAGATAGTTCATTGTTGAGTTTGGTTGTACTTCAATGTTAAAGATAGTTCGTTGAAAGATTCCTACAGTTGTATTTTTGCCCTTTCCTGGTGAAATATCTTGGTTAAAGAAGAAACCGAGACCAGTTTGTGGCTTATAGTCAGAATCAAGGGGAAGTTTATCTGATTCTCCATCAAATGGTATCTCTTCGAGGAAGTTTCGTGAGAGAAGTTTGTTGTGAAATCTAAACAAGTGGTAGTCTCTTTATTTGAGATAGCTTGTATTTTTACCCTTTCCAGGTGAAATATCTTGGTTAAGGAAGAAACTAAGACCAGTTTGTGGCTTATAGTCAGGATTGAGGGGAATTTTATCTAATTCTCCATCAAATGGTATCTCTTCGAGGAAGTTTCACAAGAGAAGTTTGTTGTGAAATCTTTACAAGTGGTAGTCTCTTTATTTGAGATAGCTTGTATTTTTACCCTTTCCAGGTGAAATATCTTGGTTAAAGAAGAAACTGAGACCAATTTGTGGCTTATAGTTAAGATCGAGGGGAAGTTTATCTGATTCTCCATCAAATGGTATCTCTTCGAGGAAGTTTCGCAAGAGAAGTTTGTTGTGAAATCTTTACAAGTGGTAGTCTCTTCATCGAAGATAGCTTGTGTTTTTACCCTTTCTAGGTGAAATATCTTGGTTAAAGAAGAAACTGAGACCAGTTTGTGGCGTATAGTCAGGATCGAGGGGAAGTTTATTTAATTCTCTATCAAATGGTATCTCTTCGAGGAAGTTTCGCAAGAGAAGTTTGTTGTGAAATCCTTACAAGTGGTAGTCTCTTTATTTGAGATAGCTTGCATTTTTCTGGGAAGAACGCCAGGATTTTGGGAAGTTCGTTATTACTCTTTGAGACGTCACCTTCAGTAAAAGCTGGTGCATTCTCTTTTCTCCACCTTCAGTAAACGTCGGTGTATCTTCTATTTCTTTACCTTCAATAAAAGTCATTATTGTCCTATGTTTGTTTTTTTTTACCTTCATTCTTGAGTGGGTAGTTCATTACCATTCTTAGGTAAGATTGATCTTTTCTAGTTAGCGATTGTTGATCCCCTGTGTTGATGTTAATCTCTTTTTGATATTTCCTTTATGAGTGGATAGTTCACAGCTATCGGTTAATTGTTGTCATCCATTACATTCCCCTCAGTTTTTGAGTCTATGGTATTTTGTTTCCTCTCGGGATCTTACCCCCCAGTGAAGCTGAGTTTTCCTTTTCCCCAGTGGAGCCGATTTGTCTCCAATAGATTCAAATTTATGTCCCAGGAGTCGTGTTGTTCTCCAGAGGTTTATTATCCTGGTTGAATTCTTTTGGTTAATTTGTAGATTCTACTTTTTCTTCTCCAGTGTGCGTCTTGCCCATCTGCATGAAATTCATACCTTACATCCATAATCATAAGCATCGCATGGTATCTTAGGGTCCAAAATAGGGCTTGTTTTATATTTAAGTATCTTCAATCACGTCGAAACTATAATTGTAATCTTCGTATCTCCGGATAGAAGACACTTAAATAAGGGTAGCTGTTGTACCCCAATTTTTTCCCCTAAGATCCCTCGTCATACTTTGTACATTTCGCACATAGCATTAGTATCATGGTTATAAGATCGAGGCACTTTGGCATTAGGGTTTCTCTCTATGAATTGAGTTTTCTATCTTACTCAAAATTGATTCAACTGGCGCTCTCATTTTTCTTGGCATGAGATTAGGGTATTGGATCTCAAGCAGCATAGATGTCTTCGCTATCGGGTTTCCTCAAGATACAAATTTTTCTTCATCAAGGTTCTTTCAAGGAACAAAGGTATTAGGGCCTAACTCAGCCAGAGAATCAGGATTTCTCTTCATTTTGTTTGAGCTTGGTAGTGATTTTTCTATGGAGGTTTATTCAGTTAAAGTCTCACTTTAAGGCTACATTGAGCACTACTCTTCCCTTACTAAAAGATTGCTTTGAGTTTTATCAAGTTTAGATATGTACCGTTAGGTAAGCTATGGGTTAGGAGCTCATTTAGATCATTTCATCAAATGGAGGTTGGTCGCTTCAAAAGCAAGGTGACTAGAATCTGTGGATTTAATTGAGATTGAGGTACATAACCTTCATTAGGTCATCTGACGCATCGTACATTATTAGTCAATAAATTCAGCATGGAATCGAAGATTTCAAGGAATCAGGGTTATTGTGGGTTCCTTTCTTCATCGAATGTTCATCCAGAGCAAAGGGGATTAGGATTTTCATTTGTGGTGTTTAATGCTTCATCAAGATTTCAATTGAGGTTTTCTTGAAGTAGAGTTGGTTCTAAAGCTATTTTGAGTTTCTCTCCTTCAAGATTTCAAGCGTGATTTTCATCTGAGATTCCCTTCCAATTACATGATATAATCAAGCGGTATTCTAAAGGATATGCAGTAGAACTTTCCTTGTTGAATTGGAATCAAGATATCTTTTCTATGTGTATGATCATTAATTTGTCAAGAGGAGAGTTAAGGATTTTACCGGTTCTTTTCCATCAAAGAAGACTCATAATTGCTTGAATCCTAAGGCAGTCATCACTTTATTATGCTTATCATCTTCGCGGGAGTTAGGGTTTCAATCATTGCTTGAAGTGTAAGTTATTGAAGGGATCTTGAAATATTCATGGCTTAATCCAAAGGAAGAGACAAGTGAATCTACATCACCAATTAGGATTTTTTAGACACTTAGTGCAAGACATATCATCTAAATAAGTGGCCTACTTGTGATACAAGCTATATCTTTTACAGACTTGATTCAATTATCTCAAGTGGAAGCTCAAAGTTTCATGGATAAAGATGCGTGTAAGGCATTTAATTCGGGTCATTTAGGCGCGGCGATACATTTCACTGGTGAAGGTAAAGGGAAGTGGCGTGGCAAATATTGTGAAGAGTATATGGAATCAAGATTTTCAAGTGATCTTATTCAGGTTACATTACATTGCATTCGATTCAAGTCATACTCCAAACTATTCCATATACATAACACCATTTCTATTACATCACGTACTACATCAAGATTCAATCTCCAAACATTACATCCATCATTCTAATACACCATACTATGTTTCAATACCATAAAGTACATCGCATAGGAAATGAGAATTACATCAAATACATCCAAAATCTAGACTTCGTCTTTCATCCTTCAAACGAAGAGCCTAATCATAACCTCCATTTTCACCTTGATTTCGTTGTTACTTTGCACTTCACCTATTTCGAGCCATCTCACCATTGCTAATATTCGGGCTGCTGCTACAGATATCCACCGAACATAACCTTACACATCAATGTCTATATCAGTTCCAACAACACAATTTAACATGCACAAATGAAAAAGTTCGTGACAGGGCTGAAGGCTAATACACTACAGCACATGTCATCACAATGTCACTCCAAACCCAAGACACATTCCATAAGCTAAGCACCATAGAGTTCAAGTTTAACCAGAACATATCCATTTGATATGGCCAAATACATACATCATATACAATACAAAAACACATTAAAACTTGCCATTTACAAAACATAAAAAACTGACAAAGCCTGTAACAAATTCCAAACAGATTTTAACAGCCCTGTAACCATTTCCTAACAGCCCAGTAACCATCTCCTAACAGCCCTGTAACCATCTCCTAACAGCCTTGTAACCATCTCCTAACAACCTATAACCTCCATAACAGAATACTCTAACAGAATTTCTAACCTCCCATTAACCACCTCTAACTAACCTAACTGTTTCTCACCCTCTAAACAAACTGAGCATAACAGAATTTAACAGATCTAACTAACCTCTCATCTTACCCTTCATTTTCCAACCAAATTCCTCAATTCAAAGGCTAAGATTCCTCCACTCCTAACTAAATTTCATCCTCTCAAATCTATATAACTATTCTTCACCCTATGGAGAAGACTCTCTTCATTCTTTAAATCACTCTCTCTCTCTAAAATCAGAATGGACCTTCCTCATTCTCGAATTTCTGGAGGAATCACCAAGAACGTCAACAAATTCTCTCAGCTCTCTCTCTCTACACAATTCTTTAATCTTGCATCACCATCTTCATTCACCTTATGCAAATAAGAAATCTCCATAACCATAAACTTCGATTTTCATCATCCTTTTCAAACCTTCAACCACAACCCCTTACCGATCCTGCAATATCACATCACAAAACAGTTAAATCAACAACCAATTTCTCAACAGAATCCTAACAACCATAACAGACCTAACTAACTTCCCTCTTAACTGTCAATACAGAAATAAAAAAACAGAACTTCAACAAACTCTAACAGAATTTTTAGAGCTCCCAACTAACTGTAACCAACTTCCCAACCTTCCTAACTAACTAACAGAACTTCTAACTAATTCATAACCGTTTTTATAACCAATTACTAACAGAATAGACATCGCTAACAAACTTTTTTTAAGAGAAAATCATGTAACAGAAAAGTGTGGAGGGGGTTCAGAATTCACATTGACAATACAAAAAGCCAGAGAGGATCTCAGATCTGGAAAAAAAAAGGAGGATTCATAACAGAAAAAAAGTTCACAGAACTCTCACCTTGGAATCTCTCTGATGTTTTCGGAAGAACATTCATCTTCATCATCAACCTTCAAGAATCCTTCATCTTCTCGGAGATTCAACAAAAATATTCAATCTTCATCTCCTTCAACTTCTCTGCATCCATCCTCGCATCACTCTCCTTCATGGTACAACAACAACACTGCGGCTTCGACAACACGCACATCTTCTACAACTGCATCTTAACTTCCACCTCTGCATGACGTTCCATTCCATATCCTTCAACCTAATCAACAACAAATATGCAACCACCGCATTGGCAAACAACTGGAACATCACAAACAGAAACAAATTGATTCAGAACTGTGGGAAAATGGAAGAAGTAGAGTAGAAGGAGGATCAAAAGCGAAGAGGCGAGAACTAAAGAATAGAATTACCTCTGATTTTCTGGATTCCACCGTAGCTTTGGACGAAGCGTCTCCGACTGGTAAAATTCTTTACTCGTCCTTCAGTAATTTCTGTTTGGGGATCATCGTTGAATCTGCGGCGGAGACGTTAGCAAAACAGGATCGGAGATGGAACAGAGGTGAGAACGAAGAAGAGAAACAGGCGGTAGCGAAGGTGTCATTCGTGGCATTGTGATTGCTGAAATCACAAAGAAGAAGACAGTGGAGAGAATCCGTACGGTGCCGCTGCGTATCATGAGTAAGGAAATTGCGTTTAATAATTATGATGTTTTTAATAATTGAAGCTTAATAATAGAAAATGATGTTGGATGATAATTGTGATGATTTGGTAATGCACCAGACCATACTCATTCTGAAGCCCAACGTGGATATTTTTGGTGTAAGATAAATTGAAACAAAAAACTCTCTATTGGACCTTTCAGCATGGACCTAGCGTCTTCTCTACTTACCTCACCCCCTGGCTCTCTCTTAGTCTTCTTTTCATCACCTTTTAGTTTTTACTTCTTTTTTTTATAATTTTGTAATAGAAATACATGATAAAACAATAAAAAGATGTTAATATAACGCTTTGGAATTTCCCTTTAGAATTTTAATTAGAGTTTTATTATTATTTTGTATGTTTGCTAATCATTTGGTTGTCATTGTTGTTGAGCGTTTATGACAGTATTGAGGCAATCTTTTATGATATGGAATGCCTGGAGATTAATTCATTTGAGCATTTCTGTGAAGCAGCTTTTGTAGAGTTTTCTTATCGCTTGCATGGTTTTGAAGAGGCAACGGACCTACTCCATTAGCTTGCGTGAAGTATTCCTGGTTTCTTTGTTTTGGTTGCGCTTTTTGTGGACATTATTTTCCGTTCTATATTATTCTGCTTCCAAGTTATATTTCTGCATTTTATTGCTTTTTAGATATCATGAGAAGTAGGAAATAAAGAGCATACGCTCGAAGTCGCTGTTTAAAGACCTGTAGCAGGCATTCCACACTTCATTTTTGTTATGTGTTGTGCTTGTGGTTGCTTCCTTTCTTGTTGATCGATGAGTCATTCAATTTAGAAATTGAGATCAGGACTTTGCTCTCAGTGCATGCTCCCTATAGGATTTTATCGCTTTCCTTTATTTCTTGTTGATCGATGAGTCACTCAATTTAGAAATTGAGATCACGACTTCGCTCTCAGTGCATGTTCCCTATAGGATAGTTTGTTAGACTTTCTTTGGCATGCTAACTTAGATAGAATCCCTCATTGTATGATAACATTAGGTTAGAGATAGGTTAGTCTCCCTTAGATGTTTTCTTCCCGTTTTTCCATAATTGTATTTAAAACTAAAACTTCTTTTTTCTTGGCAAATATATAAGAAATTCTAATCTTACAAAAATTCTTTTCATGGTAAAAAAAAATACCAACCAATCCATTTCTTTTCGCCATTCGTCTTTTCTCTTCTAAGAGCATGTTAGCTCCTTTCCACTACAGATCATAAGTCTCCAAAGGTCGAGCAGCGGTGGAATGATTGAATGCAACATTGTTCATTTAAAAAATACAAACAAATAAAATATATGAGCCGAACTACGGTAGCTCTGATTTCTCAAAAAGGACACGTAGGCATTGGGGTATGGCCCAAGCGAGTATAACTTTATTTTCCCTACATTCTTTCTCTTTTATTTGCATGCATTCTCTCTTAGTTTATAACCCTTAAGCATTAGATTGAACACACCCTTTGATTAGAATAACGAGAGTGGATCCCGTAGAGTACTATGGACGTGTGGGGTGCTAATACCTTCCCCTCGCATAATCGACTCCCTTACTCAATCTCTCGGTCGCAAGACCTTGATTTCCTCTTTAGGTTTTTCTTCGATGATTTTCCTTTCCCTTTCATATGGGATAAATAAATACTCGGTGGAGACTTCATTGATTTTACCGCTACAGTGGGTACTTCTGACTTTGGAGGAAACATTTAATATCATAGTACCAAGGCTTAATGTCTGATACTTCCTCTGCTGCAAACATATGAGCATGTCTATCCATGCAGTTGATTGTGATTTGAGATACCTCATTATGGAAATTCACCTTGTACATAGAGGACAAGGTATCCAGAGAATCTGCCATCTAATTTTCTTCACGAGGTCTATGATAAAACTCCACTTTGTTAAAGAAAGGCAATAATATTCTAGTATAGTCTTTGTAAGGAATAAAACTCGGATGAAGAGTCTCTCATTCACCTTTAATTTGGTTAATCACTAGATCTTAATCTCCATACACATCAAGGCCCGTAATACATGCCTCACACTCTACCATATTATTTGTACAATCAAAACATAACCTTTCAGTGAAGGGAATATGACAACCATGAGGAGTAATAATAATTGTCGTTATTCCATTATCATAAGCATAACAACTCCATTAAATATCAAACTCCGCCGAGATATTGGCTCTGGTCCTTCTTCAGGCAATGGCTTATCAAAATATTTAGCTTTAAGATACATAACTTTCTAATCAAGGAAGTCAAAGCTGATGGATTTATAATCATCAATTGGCTAGTGAGCCAAATGATCGGCTAACACTCTTCCTTTAATGGCTTTCTGAGTACGATACTCAATATCATTGTTGAAATATAAAAGACTAAGAGACATTTGAATAAACCGTGAGCCTGAATAGCACAGCGGAAGATGTATTATATAGGAGAAAATACAAATCCTAGTATTAATTACATAGATATCCTATCCTATTCGTGAATACACTAAGGAATATTATAAGAAATATTCTAGAGAATATTATCTTTATATACATATACATATATAATTATTAACACTCCTCCTCAAGCTTGAGCATATAAGTCAAATGCACTAAGTTTGTTACATATATAATTGGTTCTAGGGCTTCAAAGGGATTTTGTAAACACATTTGCCAATTGATCATTCGAGTTGACAAAGCTTGTGGAAATGTCACTTGACTCGATCTTCTCTCTGACAAAGTGACGTCTATCTTAATATGTTTTCTCCTCTCATGGAAGAGAAAATTTGAAGTAATGTGCAATGAAGCTTGATTATCAGAAATAAGTGTCATTGGTCTTGCTTCTTCAATTAGAAGTTCCTTGAGCAATTGTTTTAACCAAATAAATTCACATATTGCCATCGCCATGACTCTATACACTGCCTTGGCGCTTGATCTTGCAACTACATTTTGTTTCTTGCTTTTCCAAAATATAAGGTTTCCTCCAACAAGTACACAATACCCAGAGGTGGATCGTCTATCAAAGGGTGACCTTGTCCGATCAGCATCGGAGTATCCAACTATGTGAGTATGTCCTTTGTATTTATACACAAGACCTTTTCCTGGAGCACACTTGTGTATCTTAGAATTTGGACAACAACATCCATGTGTTCCTGGCAAGGAGAATTTAAGAGTTGACTTACCACACTAACTGCATAAGAAATTTCCAGACGACTGACTGTGAGATGATTCAACTTTCCAACCAACTCCTATACCTTCCTGGGTCAGATACAGGCTCCCCCTTATTGGGTAGCAGTTTGACACTTGGATCTATAGGAGTATCAGTTGGTTTATCATTCAACAACCCTGTTTCTTCCAAAATATCTATATCATATTTGCGCTGGGAAATCACCAAATCATCTCTAGATTAGGCCACCTCAATTCAAAAGAAGTAGTGGAGTTTACCAAGATCTTTTGTCTGAAATTGGTTCAAGATATGTTGTTTCAACTGGAGTATCCCCTGCTGATCACTGCTAGTTATGACAATATAATCTACATATACAATAAGATAGATACATCTTTGGGCAGAGTGATGATAAAAAACAGAGTGGTTAGCTTCACTACGGACCATATTAAACTGTTGTACTACAATATTGAATCAGCGAAACCAAACTCTCAAAGATAGCTTAAGACCATAAAGAAACTTGTGTAGCCTACAAACCATATTCGAGGACTCCTTCTGAGCAACAAACTCAGGTGGTTGCTCCATATATACTTCCTCTTCAAGATCATCATGTAAAAAGGAATTTTTAATGTCAAGTTGATGAAGAGGCCAATGTCGAATGGATGAAATGGCTAGAAGAAGTCTAATAGATTTCATCTTGGCTACAGGCGATAAGGTATCATTATAATCCAACCCAAAAATCTGAATGTATCATTTGGCTACTAAGCAAACTTTAAATCGATCGATCTTACCATCTGGTCCAACCTTCACTATATAAAGTCAACTACAACCTACTAAAGATTTCTCAGAGGGTAGAAGTACCAGTTCACAGGTACCACTGCTTTGAAGAGCTTACATTTCATCTATCATTGTTTGCCTCCACTCAGGATGAGATAATGCTTCACCTAGAGTGTTAGGAATAAAAACAGAAGACAAACAAGTATACTGCAAAGGAAAAAGATGATGATAACATAAATCAATATAATATGGAGAAGGATTGTGTATTTGACGTATACCTTTTCGAAGGGCAATCGGAAGATCAGACTCAGGTTGCAGGATCGGATCCGATGATGGCGAAGGCGTTGGAGGAGAATCTGCAATGACCTCAGGAACATGTACTGCCTCAAAGATAGGTGGGGGGGTCAACCGTAGGGTTTTCTAGTAGGTCAGATTCCTTAGAATGATGTGGAATAATAATAGGAAATGAGACTTCCGAAAGAGGTGTGGGAGTGCTTTCCCGAAGAAATTCCAGAATTACTTCATTGAACTCGAATTTATAAAATAGACAACATAACGATTAGTTCATTTTTTTATATAATTCTTAAGATCCAACACCTTTAAAAATGAGCCAACACATTTGCAAAAGAGCCAACACATTTCTGCCTCATAAGAGCAATATTAAGAAAGAGCCAACACATTTAAATTTTTAAATCAAGTGACATATTAAAATGATTAAAATCTATACTGTCTAACATACCATGCATGCAATCTTCACTTTTCCTAAAGAATGGAAACTTGTCTTGAAGCCTCACTTTTCCTTGAACATCACCAAACATGCCATATGAGAACCCAAGACAGCTCTTGTTGCTTGAGCTTGACCAATGTTACTTTGATCTCCAATGGTAATTTCCAAGTGCCTTAACAATAGTAATTTTTAAGTGAAAAGTTTATTTAGATCCCCTATGGTATAAGTGAATCTTGACTAATTTATAAATTTTTTATACAGTAATATATCTATCTAGGCTAC